GAACGGCTGCGGTCCTCAATGGGCGGGTAGGCTGCGGCAGACGTGGCGGCCCAGTCGGCGCCAGTTGCCACCGCGAAGCCGAAGGCGTTCGCCGCCCTGCGGAACTCGCCCTGGTCGAACTTCTCGCTGAACTCGCCCTGGCGCCTGCCGTGGAGTTCGTCCGATTTGGCCTTCATCTCCTTCTGGGGCCCAGTGGTAAACTCCCATTTGGCCGCCCGCCACATCTGCTGGATGCGCTCGATCTTCTCGGTCAGCATGATCAGCATGTCGCTGCGGCCGTCAGCGCCCGGACACTGGGCTGCGATGAGGGTCAGGTCGCTGAAGTCCTTGTGCACGTGATGCTGGAACGTGTCGTCGTCAATCAGGATGTGCGCCGCCCCCGCCAATGTGCGCATCTTCATTTGCTTCGCAGCGAATCGCATGGGTGACGCCGTCCTGGTCGAGGTCAACGTAATCGGCCGAACGGCCGCTGAGGAAAACCGACATTGCGTCTTGCATTTTTGTGTGGGGCTGGACAATCCGCCAATGAATGCTGATACTTTGGCGGCCTTGAACACAAGATGGCTACGCGACGTGACGACGCATACTCACTCTTATTCAGACACAATCAAGTTCACAACTCGCAGTCTGACCCGCTCGACCTCATACCGATTGATATTGATGCCCAAGCATTTTTTCCACAGCATCACCGCAAGCCCGATGCTGGACTGGACATGCAAACACACCTGGTTCTCGTCAAGAACGAATCGACCGTGAATGTGTTCCGATGGTTATAAAAGGCAGGTTGTGCCACCTCTGGCGGCGAGACTAGTGCGAAGAGGTTGCCGGGCGCGTGCGCCTTCTTCAACGCTGGCCAGTTAAACCCGCCAAGCCTCCATTTGCAGCCTGGGGTGTGCCTGATTAAGTTCTGTAGAAACTCGCAGAACGTACGCTGCGTGTCTCTGAACTCGGTGCTCAAAAACGCTACTTTCTTCAAATGGTACGTTGGCAGCGTTTTGACCCCAGCGCCAAAACGGCCTGACATTAAAAGCCCGGGGGTAACTTCATATCCCCTTTTGAACGCCGATGCAGCGGTAATGAACGGGCCAGCGCGCCCTGGTGTCTGTGCAACAAAAACTTCAGCCTCGTGCGTCCGCACTGATTTCAGGCGATGCGTGATGAGGGCGGCCGCCACCTCTGGCGATTTGCAAGGTATATCCACGAAAACAGGCTTCCCCTTGATAGCTTCTAGGAGCTTGGCCGTTGGCGTGCCCAGCGCGGCCAATCGCGCGCGCTCGGTCTTACGCGGCCTGGCCAATTGATCAGCAAGTTGCTTCTTGTGTTTGGCGGCTGCGTCTTCGCAAACAGCATGCGTCACTTCCTGTGGTAGGAGGCCGTTCTCCGAGTATGCAATGCATCGTTTGGTATTATGCTTGTTCTTCAAGAAGTCGAGCTCCTTCTGGTGCGTGGCGCCCCAGTTCGAGCCTGGTCCGACCTCCCTGGTCGAATCGCCAGCTACTGTATCCGAACAGCGAGCCTCGCAGCCTTGCGGCGCTGACGAATGAATTCGGCTTCGCCTTCCTTCGTCACTCTTCGTGGTCTCTTAACCCCTTTGTCGATGCGCGGAAACTTCCTCACTACAGGGCGCCCGCAGGTCTCGGGCCAAATCCGCCGGGCACTGTCAATGACTTTGTTGAGGTCACGATTGGGCAAGTCCAGAGCGATCTTGAGAAATATGTTCTCGCTGCGCGCGTCTGAGGAGAGTTGGCGACAGTTAAACTTGAGCGCAGCCAGGCTAACCTTCTACTCCACCCCCGACGTGCTGATTCCAAAGGCCACATATGCAACCAAAGTTGATCTCAGATCGTCGATGTCGTGCCGCAGCGCTAGTCTCTGCTGCCCTAGTTTCTGTATCACATATCTCCAAGCTTCCTTATTCGACAAACCTCTCTGCTGTTGTTGGCGAGCCCTCGGGGGCCCATGTTCCCACTGAACCTGCAGCCTAGTTGGATTGATGTCCGCGGCCTGGCAGAACAGGCGCCCGGCATGTCTCGCGGGCAACGTTGACCTTGACATGTGGCTGAACTCAACTTTCGGGGGTGGGCGCGGCGCGGGGGGGGGGGCGGCGGTCGTTGCGGGCAACGCGGCGATCCAATGCCTGAGCAATCCGCCGCAAATGCACATCCGCCCGGGGGTGCGTGGTGGACAAGTCGAACGCTTGGAATGCCTGTGGTCATGGCGCACACCCCACTGCTCTTGAGATCACCCCCTGGGGCCCCGCATGGGGCCCGATCGGAAGCGAGAAACACCAGCAGCAACAAAACCCCGACAACTTATCAACGTAACCTTGGTTGCCTGGCTCACCTCGAAACTTGAGAACTCAGCTGCCAGCGCTGCGCGCGCCAGGACCACGTAAGACCTCATCCTCTCCATGCACCTGTTGACAATGTCGCCAGGGGCACCGCGCTCGAAACCTATGGTCCGAGAGTCGTCGTTGACGTGCCAAACCACGTACTCGTTGAGGAGGTTCATCATGACCGAAGTGAAATTAAAAAACAGTTAAGCACCGCTCGCTCCCACCAAACATTGCCTCGACCTTTCTGATGAACAGGGGCACTTCTGAATTGAGACAGGCGGTGTCAACGTCTTCATTATCAAGCAGTCTCGTCAAGCACATCCCTTCGTCAGCCACGTCTGCCATCATCGCAAGCATTAAACGTCGTTCGCTGTCCACTCATGCAAGTCACGCTTTGGCCTTGTCGGTGTTCTCATCCTTGGTCGGGCGGTTGGCCACGTACATCGCTGTCTTGATGCTCGCATGCATGAAGAGAGCAGCGCGGCCAAGAGGTTTCTGCCAATATTCAAAACGATGTGATGCGGCTCGCATGTTCCTTATCGCGGATGTAACCACGGAGCTCTGTGAAGACTTGACATACCCAGCGAACACACGCGATGTGGCGGTGCTGTTCTGCACGAGCTTGGCGACCGAACTGCGGCCTTGTGCCATCATCATCGCTACATCTCTCAAGTATGGGTCTGCGTTCCAGGGTCGCGAAATGATGCGCCGCGAGGCGTGCGCTGAGTCGCGCAGCACGAACTTAAGGTTTGGCGTGAGTGCCCTTTCTGTCTGAGCAAGTGATCGGTTGCGCATCATTTCGCTCGCGAGAAGTTCATCTCCAGCTGAGTCGACGGTGATGCACATGACACTCTCCCGAACATGGGCCATCAAGCTCGGAATCAACGTGGGGGTTGCACGACGGAGTCTCGGTGAGTCACTGAACTTAGTGCACATTCGCTGTATGATTCTGAAGGTAGCCTCCGTAATCTTAGTGGCACCAGTTCCGAAGTCTCTCTCCTGGCCCAGAGTGCCACTGAACTCATCCAAATTCTGATTTACAGCTCGGTATCTCATAGCCAGCCGACCTTTTGACTCATCCCGAAACAAAGATATCGCTCTAGCTGGCTTTAAAGCCTCTCTGTCATCAGCGCACAAGGCCTCCTTCAAGCACCGCGGGATTCTCCGACGCGCAATAGTCCCATGGCCCAAACTTCCGCCTGCAACGATGTCATCGGCAACCTGTTTGAATTCGTCCCACTTCGGGCACATCACTGAGTACACCGCATCATCGAGGTTTCCAGCTAGGAACGCTGCCACGGCAGCCTTGTGCTCGGCACACTGAGCGTGCTTCTGTAAATTGCAAACTTGTATTGCGCCATTGGATCTAACTTCGTACGCACCGAAAGGGTTCGTGGTGAAGCCGACAGCCCGGCAGATTTTGCAACCCACGCCCAAGCCTTTCGCCCGCTTGCTACCAAGCCACGTGCCCAACTTTGGCTGCGCATGGTCTATGGGGAACCTATTCGCCCATGCAGGATAATTTCGTTTCCACTTGCTGCGACCGTCGTGTGCAGCCCCCAACTTGAGGGCCATTGCTTGCTCCAAGCAGACGTGCTGCGACGAACGAAGAATTGAGCCTGAATGGCGAGCGGCAGAGGACTTGCTTGTTCTTCAGGGCCACCCCCACCCCCACCACCCCACCCGCCCCTTAATGGCAATCCGATGGGATCCATCGCCAGATCTGACTGTCCAATCACATTAGTGTTGATGCTCTCACTACACCTTGCACCTTGGAGGGGTCGAATTTCACATGTAAGCGAACGTCAGGCGGCAACCGACAGGTATACATAAGTTTTCAGAACGAATGCTGGCTAGAGATTGTGTTTTGCATGTTCCCCCCACCCCTCCTCCCCCTGCCCCTCTCAGTGGTAACCCGAGTGCCCTATCGCCAGATCTGAACGTCCAATCGCACTCTGCACTTTGGAGGGTCGAACTTCACATGTAAACGAACGTCGGGCGGCAACCGACAGGTATACATAGGTTTTCTGAACGAATGCTGGATAACGAGTGTGTGTGTGTGTGTGTGTGTGTGTGTGTGTGTGTGTGTTTCCCCACCCTCCTCCTGCAGGTCGGAGCTGATTCGGCTGACCGTGCAGCTGGGCGTGCGCAGCACTCGGCCGAAACAGCCGAAACAATCGAAAAAACTAAGGCTTGCGCGGTGGTGGCCCTGGCGGATGCTTCACTCCACGCGGGAAAGGCACTTTCTTCTCGACCCAACCTGAGCTCCACAGGGCCTCCTCGAGAATTGCCCCAATCGTGTTCACGGAAACAGCGTTGCCGATGAGCTGGCCCAACTGGCGCTGGCTGATCTTCAGCGTCGTCCACGGGATATCAGTCAGCTCGAAACCCTGTAGCTTGATCAACTCAGTCGGGGTTGTGCGGCGCCCCCTCGTAGAAATCCAAGGCCCACCATCTCCGCCCCTTGACCTGGTGATGGTCTTGGCCTCGTCGATGCCGTAGGTTGCGAATTTAGGCGAAGCGTCGATGTCAACCAGGATGGGCGTGGAACGAGGGTCGCGCCCGTAGTCGAAGCACTCCTTGTAGGCCGTCTTGCACGCATCCTTCTGGCGCTGGACCGTAGGCAGACGGCCCGCCATTTCGGTGGGTTTCCACGCGCCCAAGATCACGGCTTGGTGATTTCGGGCCAATTGAATGCATGTTTGATGGCGTCTGTCCTGATGGCCACCACGAACGCCCGGCGACGATCTTGTGGAATGCCGTAGTCGCGTGAATCGAGCACGCTGTAGTTCACAGTGTAGCCGATGCTGATCAAGCCCTTGATGATGCCATCCAGCACGGGCTTGAGCCTTTTGTGGGTCAGCGTGAAAACGTTCTCGAAGATCGACACCCTGGGCTTCTTGTTTTTCATGTACTGCATGGCCTTCTTGATAAGCTGGCCAGTCTGCCTTGGCCCATTGACTCCCTGACGAAGACCATTCTGGCTTAAATCCTGCCACGGTGGCGTTCACTTGTAGACGTCAGTATCCTCTTCCTCTTCAGGGGTGCGCACTGTTATGTCTGTGAAAAACTTGCCAGGATTGTGCACAGCCGTGATGACCTTCTGGCAGGGCTTGGCCGAGTCGCTGGCGAAGACGTTCGTGAACGGCACGCCCATGCGCCGCGTTGCAACTGAAGTTGGGTCCAAGCCTGTAAAATCACTGCCGAGCTTGACTACTTTCGGGCGCCGTGGGCGGCGCACCCTAACCGTAGTTTTGGGCGGCGCCGTCGCGCCATCCCGGGCGAGCCCCATCGCTTGGTCGCGCCAGCCCGGGCGAGCCGCTCAGTGGTCCTAAATGGTATGTGCCGATGCAGCTATAGATGCGGCCCATGGGGAAAGGTGGGAGGTCGGGCCATGATTGGCGAGGAGGAATGGGAGAAGGAGGCGCTAGCTCTGATGTTTGTGCTGCGGATTCGCGAGCGAGCGAGCGGCTGCGGGTTCGAGCGAGCGAGCGAGCGGCTGCGAGCCTCGCCGCTGCCAGCCATCCAAGACCCCCCACCTTCTGAGCGTGATTGCTGAGGGGGAACGTTAATTCTACAGTGCTTCTCGAGGAACGCTAACTCTACAGTGCTTCTCGGGGAACTCTAACCCTGCAGTGCTTCTCGGGGGCCGCTAACTCTACAGTGCCTCCCCCGTCATTTGTCCGACATATTGGGGTTGTGAATTCTCAATGCTACATTGCTTCTGACAGTTTCACTGCCTCCTCGTCTTTGCCCCCCCCCTCCCCCCTGCCCCTTGCCTCGCCTCTTGGCCCGCTGCCATTTCACGCCCAAGTATGCCATGCTGTTTAGTTGCGTACGTGGGCTGCGAGAAGCCAGTTCGAGGACGCCCCCGAGCTGCGAGAGGCCACTTCGCGGACGTCCCTGAGCTGCGAGAGCTTGTTCGAGGACGTCCCCGAGCTGCGAGAGGCCACTTCGAGGACGTCCCCGAGCTGCGCGATGACCTCTCAGCAGCTCGGGGACGCCCTCGAACTGGCCTCTCGCAGCTCGGGGACGCCCTCGAAATGGCCTCTCGCAGCTCGGGGGCGCCCTCGAACTGGCCTCTCGCAGCTCGGGGGCGCCCTCTAACTGGCATCTCGCAGCTCGGGGCGTCTTCGAAATGGCCTCTCGCAGCTCGGGGGCGTCCTTGAAAACGCCCCCGAGCTGCGAGAAGTCTAACATACCTCTCCTCGACGTGGCCTCTCGCAGCTCGGGGGCGTCCCCGATCTGCGAGAGGCGACCCCGGGGTGTGACAGACCTCTCTTTGCAGTGGCCTCTCGCAGCTCGGGGGCGCCCCGAGCTGCGAGACGCTGCTTCGAGGGCGCCCCGAGCTGCGGGGGGCCAAGTCGAGGCCGCCCCCGAGCTGCGAGAGGCCACTTCGAGGACGCCCCCCGAGCTGCGAGGCCAATTCGAGGACGTCCCCGAGCTGCGAGAGGCCCTCGAAGTGACCTCTCGCAGCTCGGGGACGTCCTCGAAGTGGCCTCTCGCAGCTCGGGGACGTCTTCGAATTGGCCTCTCGCAGCTCGGGGGCGTCCTCGAAGTGGCGTCTCGCAGCTCGGGGGCGCCCTCGAAGCGGCCTCTCGCCCCCGTCGGCTCCTCGGGGGCCCAGTCGAATCATGCTTGCATTGCTCGGGGTGGTCCTCGGGGGCCGCCCGACGTCTCAAGGTCGCCTCCAGAGCTGCGAGAGGAGAGGACTAACAGATTTCTCCACTCGCAGCTCAAGGACGTCCTTGAGCGGCGAGTGGTAGGGTTAGTCCTCTCACTTTAGAGAGGTCTGCGAGACATCGTGCTCACAGACCTCTCCAGAGTGAGAGGACTAACCCTGCCACTCGCAGCTCAAGGTCGTCCTTGAGCTGCGAGTGGAGGGGTCTATTAAACTGCCCCCCAACAGGCCTCGAAAGCCCTCCGAAGAGACCCCTCAATCCAGGCGCGGTGGCGGAATGGGCCGAAGGCCACTAGATAATAACGACAACGCATGCCATTACGTACATAGTTGTTTTGGTTTTCACTCACAGCATCCGGGCGACTTCTCCCCAGACGTGCAAGAGAGGCCGAATCAGCCGGGCGATCGCAGATCACCATGTTGGCGACATGCATCCTACGCAAAACAATAAGGTGATGGATCCTCTATCGTCGGTCCTCCTTCTAATCACCTTGCCCCTTCCACCGTCCGCCTCATTCAACCATGCTGCGCACCATGGTCTTCATGACCTATTGCAGCACGAAAAACACAGCTACAGCCGGACCAGCTGGCAACGCATGCCGCATCATGCAAAGGGATCCCAGGCGTTCTCAGGATCGGGATCACCAACAAGACCATCATCCTCAGGCTCATGATTGTCATTCTCAGGCTCACCATCCCCGCCAGTGCCTGGCTCAGCCGTGGGAGCCGCCACGGGCTTGCGCCGGGGGCGGCGCTTGAGGTTCGGCGGTGGCGCTGGGGGCGGCGTCTCGGTGAGCCCTGCCGCCTTCGCGTACTGGGCGTTGTAGAGCTTGGAGCCCGTCCGGCGCATCTCGGTATTCATCTGCTCGACGAGCCTCGCGTAGATCATAGTCTTGTGCTCCTCGGTGAAAGCGATGCCGACGTACCCCGCGCGGTTGAGCACCGCCTGCCAAGCGAATTTGGCGTCCAGCGGCGTCAAGTCCACGATGGCCTTCAAGAAACACATGTGGATGAGCTCGTCGTACCGCGCGGGGGGCATTCCGTGGTGCGTGACTGGCACTTGCGTGGAGTCCGTCTTGCGCTCGACCACGTCGTCCGGGCTCGCGCCTTTCGTCTTGCCGCCGACGGCGATGAGGTTCTTCGTGCCGTAGAGCGCCTTTTTGTCCGACCAACTCATGGTCCACTCCTTTTCGGCCTCGGTCGCCTCGACGCCCATGATTGTGTCGCCCGACGTGCTTCCAGGATAGTGTTTCCGTGACCTCTCTTGCAGGGGGACTTTCGTATGTGAGAGCATGTGAGCGCACTCGGACTGGTGAAGGCCACCTGTGCAGCTGCGCAACTTCTTGCGGCGGTTGGCGATGCTGGCCTCGGAGTAGACGATGTTGATGACAGAGGAGGTGAAGGTCAGGACCTCAGTTCCGTCCTCGTCGTCGGGGTCGTCCTCCTTATCCTCTTCGTCCTCATCATCATCGTCCTGCTTCTTCTTGTCCTTCGAAGTCCCCTCGCGCCACGGGGCAATTAGTTTATTGGAGTTGCCACTCCTGCCGCCGTCTAGCAGGATAGCCACTTCACCAGATCGTAGACCAGGGGCACCGCCAGCCGGGGCACGCGCGTTCAGCACGGTCCTGACCAGCCTGTGGTAGTTCGCGTCGCGCAGGGGGGCGACCCGCAGCTCCGGGCGAGTTAAGGGCTCGCCGCTCTGCTTGACGTCGAAGTGAAACAGCACGAGACCAGTCGGATCGCCCCTGGTGCCCGCCAGAGTGGAATCGCGAATTGCGTTTTCCAGCTCAGCGGCCGTTTTCTTCTCGACGATGATGTCCACGTACGTGTGGACATGCTTCTTGATGATCTTCTCCCAATACTCTTGGTTCTGCTGCTCCATGCTGTGAAAGCCCTTCGACCCTGGAGTCGCGGTTGTCGTGCCAGTTGTCGGGGCTGGCGTAGCTGGGTCCACTGCAGGGGTCTCTCCTCTCGCCGCCGCTGCAGCGGCTCGCTCTTGGGCCAGAGTCGCGGCGATCTCGTCGATCTCGCGCTTGACGCTCTCGTGCTCCAAGATGTCAGCAACCTTTGCCTTCGACTTTACAGCGTCCCTGTAGCGGCCGTCATAGGAGCAAGTGTAGATACACTCTTCCAGAAAGGTGCATGCCGCCACCGAAGATGGGGGCCATCCGACCATCCACGTAGTGTCCACCGTGGGCTCGTCGGGGTAGCCTGTCACAGACGCGCGCGCGTTCGGAACATCGGCGAACGCCTCCTGCATCTTTTTAACGTGCTCGATTGGCAGACCGACCCCTGGCAACCACGTCTGGAGCAACTCATCGCGCATGGCATGCTTCAGGTTGAGGACCTCGATGTAGCTCTGCCTGTAGTCCTTCATCCTGCTGGTCGTGCCCCCCCCCGCGGTGATAGGGTCCTGGGGGGGGGGGGGGGGGCTACTCGCAGGCAGTGTGGCAGGCCAAGGCCAACCCAAGGCACGCAACCAACCAAAATCAGTCCATCCTCTCCCCCGTAGCTCCGCTTCCCCCTGGGCTGCCTCGGCCCTCAAGATCAAATGCTGGTCTAACATGTTCGCACCATGGTTTTCAACGCCAAAACCTTATTCTGCTCAGTCACCCCCCCTCCCGGGCATGGAATTCGACCCCCAGTCCATGCGGTAGAGATCCGTGAGGCCGCAAATGGCCCAGGTAATGCGAGATGTCGTCTGCGCACGGTCGACCAAGGCCTGCAACGCATAAATCGATTTGCTCCATGGGCTCTTCTCCATCAGGTGCTCGTCGCACCACTCGAGCCACTGGCGCGCCGTCTCGTTGCTGAGGACCCCCCTGTGCACGGTGAGGGCGCTGTCGACGAAAGACGCGCTGACTCCCTCCGTCCCCCTGGCGTACTTCATCTTCTCATGGTAGTGCTTCGCGACCTGAGCGCTGCCCAACTCCCTGCCCAGGTCCTTCTCTTTGGAAGCCTTGAAGCCAACGACGTCGTAGATCCACTGGCGGACGGACAATTGGGACACGATGCCCATCTCGATGGCTTCCTGTCGGAGGTTTTGGGCCCTCCAATACCGATCGCCCCCTGATGTCACCAGCTCGAACCAGAACGACGCCGTCAACAGCGCGTGGCGCCATTTCCCTAACACGTCATCGCCAGCTTCTTGAATGATTGCATCCCTGATGCTGAAGATCACCGCGAAGGCGGACTCCGGGGGCGACAAGCGTTGCAAGGCACCTTTCGCACCCATCGCGCATTGCGTGGCTGAGTCCAACGCAATCACCGTCTCGAAGAGAGTGTGCCTGGGCGGCTGCAGTGGCTCCAAGGCGAACCTGTGGAATTCCTTGATCTGGCTTTTGTTGATGGGCACGCGGTGTTTGCACATCCACGCGAAGCTCTGCCACATAAAATTGAGGCCGCGTTTGTAGAAAAAGGCCAGGCCCATCTCTGTTCAGCGCAGCGTTCATGTCAGCCTGCTTGAATGACGCTTGGGCGCCTCCATCCGACATGGTCTTCGGCTCCTGCTCAACGATGTCCTTGAACGCCGGGTGCTCCGCGATCTTGCTTAACGCATCGTGGACCTCCTTGATCACGGTGCGAGCCATGTTTTCGTTGCTAGATCGCTGTTCCATCTCGCCCGCGGCGGCCTCCGCCCCAGCGGCGCTGGTCTTATTCTGGATCCTCGGGCGCGTTCTCGGCTCGGGCTTCTCCTTCGTCGCCTGGCCGCGCTTGCCCATGGCGCCTCCCCTGGTGTCCACGGAAGTGGGGTAGTGAATTGAATGCGGTTTTGTTGCACCAGAAAATCATACTGACCCGAATGGCTACGGGCGCGTCGTCTCGTGGAGTTGTTATCTGACATCGGGATCTTAACATATGATTAGAACAACGATGTGCACCAGCTGCGTGGATGGATGGCGGGCCCTCTGAAAGATGCGGCTCTCGCCTGGGGCTTCCTGACACTGGCAAAGACAATTACCTGGACCTCAACCAGTGCCAGCTCACCCTGGAGGGACGGCCGAGGGAGGGGGAAGCTCGCCAAAAACATGTTCTACCGCAAGTGCATCGGGGGGTGCACTTGACAAACCCACCCTCCCTCACGCGATCCTTGGCGTTGGGGCTTGAATATAGCACTCTCCAGGCTGCCCCAATGAACGCACGGGTAAAACTTATGTTGATTGCACAACTTTGTCACACTGGGCTACGCAAGCGTCGGCCGCCAACAAGTGGTGGCACTCCCAAAGGCGCAAATGGCTGCACCGTCGCCCGCAAGCTCCCCGGGGCGTCCGAATCGGCCGAAACAGCCGTGCCGAAAACGCCGTGGCACCTTACTGCTCACCCTCGAGCGCGAAGTCAACCATGGTCCTGTCGACGACCAGCGAGTACCATTTGCGGTGAATGACGCGCTCGTTGAGCCTGAGCGCTGGGAACACCGCATCTCCCCCGTCGTTGTAGTGGATGACGGCGGCCCTGAGGATGAGCTCGCCAATGTCCGTGAACCCGAACTCCTCGAGCGCCCTGCGTTTCAAGCGGCTCGCGTTGACGAGTGGGCGGCCCTGCGTGGGCCCCTCGAGGTTCGGCAACATCACCCTCTTCCACTCGTCGTTGTACCTCGCCCACGTCTCGATCTCGGGTATGCTGACGGCCGGGTGATCAGGCTGAGTGTCGGAGCTGGCGTCGCCGTCGCCGCCGTCGCCGCCGTCGGTCTTGCGGACGTAGATCCACTGGATGAGGTTCACGAGTTGGTCGCCAGTGGGATCTCCATCAGGGGATTGCCCGTAACACTTGTAGATCTTCAACTCAGACTCGGCGCCGAAGTATTCCGACATCTCCTTCGTGATCGTATTCTTGATCGTCGCACCCTGGGCTTCTTGTTTTTCATGTACTGCATGGCCTTCTTGATAAGCTGGCCAGTCTGCCTTGGCCCATTGACTCCCTGACGAAGACCATTCTGGCTTAAATCCTGCCACGGTGGCGTTCACTTGTAGACGTCAGTATCCTCTTCCTCTTCAGGGGTGCGCACTGTTATGTCTGTGAAGAACTTGCCAGGATTGTGCACAGCCGTGATGACCTTCTGGCAGGGCTTGGCCGAGTCGCTGGCGAAGACGTTCGTGAACAGCACGCCCATGCGCCGCGTTGCAACTGAAGTTGGGTCCAAGCCTGTAAAATCACTGCCGAGCTTGACTACTTTCGGGCGCCGTGGGCGGCGCACCCTAACCGTAGTTTTGGGCGGCGCCGTCGCGCCATCCCGGGCGAGCCCCATCGCTTGGTCGCGCCAGCCCGGGCGAGCCGCTCAGTGGTCCTAAATGGTATGTGCCGATGCAGCTATAGATGCGGCCCATGGGGAAAGGTGGGAGGTCGGGCCATGATTGGCGAGGAGGAATGGGAGAAGGAGGCGCTAGCTCTGATGTTTGTGCTGCGGATTCGCGAGCGAGCGAGCGGCTGCGGGTTCGAGCGAGCGAGCGAGCGGCTGCGAGCCTCGCCGCTGCCAGCCATCCAAGACCCCCCACCTTCTGAGCGTGATTGCTGAGGGGGAACGTTAATTCTACAGTGCTTCTCGAGGAACGCTAACTCTACAGTGCTTCTCGGGGAACTCTAACCCTGCAGTGCTTCTCGGGGGCCGCTAACTCTACAGTGCCTCCCCCGTCATTTGTCCGACATATTGGGGTTGTGAATTCTCAATGCTACATTGCTTCTGACAGTTTCACTGCCTCCTCGTCTTTGCCCCCCCCTCCCCCCTGTGCCCCTTGCCTCGCCTCTTGGCCCGCTGCCATTTCACGCCCAAGTATGCCATGCTGTTTAGTTGCGTACGTGGGCTGCGAGAAGCCAGTTCGAGGACGCCCCCGAGCTGCGAGAGAGCTGCGAGACTTCGAGGACGTCCCCGAGCTGCGCGATGACCTCTCAGCAGCTCGGGGACGCCCTCGAACTGGCCTCTCGCAGCTCGGGGACGCCCTCGAAATGGCTTCTCGCAGCTCGGGGGCGCCCTCGAACTGGCCTCTCGCAGCTCGGGGGCGCCCTCTTGGCATCTCGCAGCTCGGGGGCGTCTTCGACATGGCCTCTCGCAGCTCGGGGGCGTCCTTGAAAACGCCCCCGAGCTGCGAGAAGTCTAACATACCTCTCCTCGACGTGGCCTCTCGCAGCTCGGGGACGTCCCCGATCTGCGAGAGGCGACCCCGGGGTGTGACAGACCTCTCTTTGCAGTGGCCTCTCGCAGCTCGGGGGCGCCCCGAGCTGCGAGACGCCGCTTCGAGGGCGCCCCCGAGCTGCGGGGGGCCAAGTCGAGGCCGCCCCCGAGCTGCGAGAGGCCACTTCGAGGACGCCCCCGAGCTGCGAGAGGCCAATTCGAGGACGTCCCCGAGCTGCGAGAGGCCCTCGAAGTGACCTCTCGCAGCTCGGGGACGTCCTCGAAGTGGCCTCTCGCAGCTCGGGGACGTCTTCGAATTGGCCTCTCGCAGCTCGGGGGCGTCCTCGAAGTGGCGTCTCGCAGCTCGGGGGCGCCCTCGAAGCGGCCTCTCGCCCCCGTCGGCTCCTCGGGGGCCCAGTCGAATCATGCTTGCATTGCTCGGGGTGGTCCTCGGGGGCCGCCCGACGTCTCAAGGTCGCCTCCAGAGCTGCGAGAGGAGAGGACTAACAGATTTCTCCACTCGCAGCTCAAGGACGTCCTTGAGCGGCGAGTGGTAGGGTTAGTCCTCTCACTTTAGAGAGGTCTGCGAGACATCATGCTCACAGACCTCTCCAGAGTGAGAGGACTAACCCTGCCACTCGCAGCTCAAGGTCGTCCATGAGCTGCGAGTGGAGGGGTCTATTAAACTGCCCCCCAACAGGCCTCGAAAGCCCTCCGAAGAGACCCCTCAATCCAGGCGCGGTGGCGGAATGGGCCGAAGGCCACTAGATAATAACGACAACGCATGCCATTACGTACATAGTTGTTTTGGTTTTCACTCACAGCATCCGGGCGACTTCTCCCCAGACGTGCAAGAGAGGCCGAATCAGCCGGGCGATCGCAGATCACCATGTTGGCGACATGCATCCTACGAAAAACAATAAGGTGATGGATCCTCTATCGTCGGTCCTCCTTCTAATCACCTTGCCCCTTCCACCGTCCGCCTCATTCAGCCATGCTGCGCACCATGGTCTTCATGACCTATTGCAGCGCGAAAAACACAGCTACAGCCGGACCAGCTGGCAACGCATGCCGCATCATGCAAAGGGATCCCAGGCGTTCTCAGGATCGGGATCACCAACAAGACCATCATCCTCAGGCTCATGATTGTCATTCTCAGGCTCACCATCCCCGCCAGTGCCTGGCTCAGCCGTGGGAGCCGCCACGGGCTTGCGCCGGGGGCGGCGCTTGAGGTTCGGCGGTGGCGCTGGGGGCGGCGTCTCGGTGAGCCCTGCCGCCTTCGCGTACTGGGCGTTGTAGAGCTTGGAGCCCGTCCGGCGCATCTCGGTATTCATCTGCTCGACGAGCCTCGCGTAGATCATAGTCTTGTGCTCCTCGGTGAAAGCGATGCCGACGTACCCCGCGCGGTTGAGCACCGCCTGCCAAGCGAATTTGGCGTCCAGCGGCGTCAAGTCCACGATGGCCTTCAAGAAACACATGTGGATGAGCTCGTCGTACCACGCGGGGGGCATTCCGTGGTGCGTGACTGGCACTTGCGTGGAGTCCGTCTTGCGCTCGACCACGTCGTCCGGGCTCGCGCCTTTCGTCTTGCCGCCGACGGCGATGAGGTTCTTCGTGCCGTAGAGCGCCTTTTTGTCCGACCAACTCATGGTCCACTCCTTTTCGGCCTCGGTCGCCTCGACGCCCATGATTGTGTCGCCCGACGTGCTTCCAGGATAGTGTTTCCGTGACCTCTCTTGCAGGGGGATTTTCGTATGTGAGAGCATGTGAGCGCACTCGGACTGGTGAAGGCCACCTGTGCAGCTGCGCAACTTCTTGCGGCGGTTGGCGATGCTGGCCTCGGAGTAGACGATGTTGATGACAGAGGAGGTGAAGGTCAGGACCTCAGTTCCGTCCTCGTCGTCGGGGTCGTCCTTCTTATCCTCTTCGTCCTCATCATCATCGTCCTGCTTCCTGTCCTTCGAAGTCCCCTCGCGCCACGGGGCAATTAGTTTATTGGAGTTGCCACTCCTGCCGCCGTCTAGCAGGATAGCCACTTCGCCAGATCGTAGACCAGGGGCACCGCCAGCCGGGGCACGCGCGTTCAGCACGGTCCTGACCAGCCTGTGGTAGTTCGCGTCGCGCAGGGGGGCGACCCGCAGCTCCGGGCGAGTTAAGGGCTCGCCGCTCTGCTTGACGTCGAAGTGAAACAGCACGAGACCAGTCGGATCGCCCCTGGTGCCCGCCAGAGTGGAATCGCGAATTGCGTTTTCCAGCTCAGCGGCCGTTTTCTTCTCGACGATGATGTCCACGTACGTGTGGACATGCTTCTTGATGATCTTCTCCCAATACTCTTGGTTCTGCTGCTCCATGCTGTGAAAGCCCTTCGACCCTGGAGTCGCGGTTGTCGTGCCAGTTGTCGGGGCTGGCGTAGCTGGGTCCACTGCAGGGGTCTCTCCTCTCGCCGCCGCTGCAGCGGCTCGCTCTTGGGCCAGAGCGTTGGCGCCATCTCGTCGCGCTCGCGCGTTGACGCTCTCGTTGAAGATGTCCAAGATGTCAGCAACCTTTGCCTTCGACTTTACAGCGTCCCTGTAGCGGCCGTCATAGGAGCAAGTGTAGATACACTCTTCCAGAAAGGTGCATGCCGCCACCGAAGATGGGGGCCATCCGACCGTCCACGTAGTGTCCACCGTGGGCTCGTCGGGGTAGCCTGTCACTGACGCGCGCGCGTTCGGAACATCGGCGAACGCCTCCTGCATCTTTTTAACGTGCTCGATTGGCAGACCGACCCCTGGCAACCACGTCTGGAGCAACTCATCGCGCATGGCATGCTTCAGGTTGAGGACCTCGATGTAGCTCTGCCTGTAGTCCTTCATCCTGCTGGTCGTGCCCCCCCCCGCGGTGATAGGGTCCTGGGGGGGGGGGGGGGGGCTACTCGCAGGCAGTGTGGCAGGCCAAGGCCAACCCAAGGCACGCAACCAACCAAAATCAGTCCATCCTCTCCCCCGTAGCTCCGCTTCCCCCTGGGCTGCCTCGGCCCTCAAGATCAGAATGCTGGTCTAACATGTTCGCGCCATGGTTTTCAACGCCAAAACCTTATTCTGCTCAGTCACCCCCCCTCCCGGGCATGGAATTCGACCCCCAGTCCATGCGGTAGAGATCCGTGAGGCCGCAAATGGCCCAGGTAATGCGAGATGTCGTCTGCGCACGGTCGACCAAGGCCTGCAACGCATAAATCGATTTGCTCCATGGGCTCTTCTCCATCAGGTGCTCGTCGCACCACTCGAGCCACTGGCGCGCCGTCTCGTTGCTGAGGACCCCCCTGTGCACGGTGAGGGCGCTGTCGACGAAAGACGCGCTGACTCCCTCCGTCCCCCTGGCGTACTTCATCTTCTCATGGTAGTGCTTCGCGACCTGAGCGCTGCCCAACTCCCTGCCCAGGTCCTTCTCTTTGGAAGCCTTGAAGCCAACGACGTCGTAGATCCACTGGCGGACGGACAATTGGGACACGATGCCCATCTCGATGGCTTCCTGTCGGAGGTTTTGGGCCCTCCAATACCGATCGCCCCCTGATGTCACCAGCTCGAACCAGAACGACGCCGTCAACAGCGCGTGGCGCCATTTCCCTAACACGTCATCGCCAGCTTCTTGAATGATTGCATCCCTGATGCTGAAGATCACCGCGAAGGCGGACTCCGGGGGCGACAAGCGTTGCAAGGCACCTTTCGCACCCATCGCGCATTGCGTGGCTGAGTCCAACGCAATCACCGTCTCGAAGAGAGTGTGCCTGGGCGGCTGCAGTGGCTCCAAGGCGAACCTGTGGAATTCCTTGATCTGGCTTTTGTTGATGGGCACGCGGTGTTTGCACATCCACGCGAAGCTCTGCCACATAAAATTGAGGCCGCGTTTGTAGAAAAAGGCCAGGCCCATCTCTGTTCAGCGCAGCGTTCATGTCAGCCTGCTTGAATGACGCTTGGGCGCCTCCATCCGACATGGTCTTCGGCTCCTGCTCAACGATGTCCTTGAACGCCGGGTGCTCCGCGATCTTGCTTAACGCATCGTGGACCTCCTTGATCACGGTGCGAACCATGTTTTCGTTGCTAGATCGCTGTTCCATCTCGCCCGCGGCGGCCTCCGCCCCAGCGGCGCTGGTCTTATTCTGGATCCTCGGGCGCGTTCTCGGCTCGGGCTTCTCCTTCGTCGCCTGGCCGCGCTTGCCCATGGCGCCTCCCCTGGTGTCCACGGAAGTGGGGTAGTGAATTGAATGCGGTTTTGTTGCACCAGAAAATCATACTGACCCGAATGGCTACGGGCGCGTCGTCTCGTGGAGTTGTTATCTGACATCGGGATCTTAACATATGATTAGAACAACGATGTGCACCAGCTGCGTGGATGGATGGCGGGCCCTCTGAAAGATGCGGCTCTCGCCTGGGGCTTCCTGACACTGGCAAAGACAATTACCTGGACCTCAACCAGTGCCAGCTCACCCTGGAGGGACGGCCGAGGGAGGGGGAAGCTCGCCAAAAACATGTTCTACCGCAAGTGCATCGGGGGGTGCACTTGACAAACCCACCCTCCCTCACGCGATCCTTGGCGTTGGGGCTTGAATATAGCACTCTCCAGGCTGCCCCAATGAACGCACGGGTAAAACTTATGTTGATTGCACAACTTTTTCACACTGGGCTACGCAAGCGACGGCCGCCAACAAGTGGTGGCACTCCCAAAGGCGCAAATGGCTGCACCGTCGCCCGCAAGCTCCCCGGGGCGTCCGAATCGGCCGAAACAGCCGTGCCGAAAACGCCGTGGCACCTTACTGCTCACCCTCGAGCGCGAAGTCAACCATGGTCCTGTCGACGACCAGCGAGTACCATTTGCGGTGAATGACGCGCTCGTTGAGCCTGAGCGCTGGGAACACCGCATCTCCCCCGTCGTTGTAGTGGATGACGGCGGCCCTGAGGATGAGCTCGCCAATGTCCGTGAACCCGAACTCCTCGAGCGCCCTGCGTTTCAAGCGGCTCGCGTTGACGAGTGGGCGGCCCTGCGTGGGCCCCTCGAGGTTCGGCAACATCACCCTCTTCCACTCGTCGTTGTACCTCGCCCACGTCTCGATCTCGGGTATGTTGACGGCCGGGTGATCAGGCTGAGTGTCGGAGCTGGCGTCGCCGTCGTTGCCGTCGCCGCCGTCGGTCTTGCGGACGTAGATCCACTGGATGAGGTTCACGAGTTGGTCGCCAGTGGGATCTCCATCAGGGGATTGCCCGTAACACTTGTAGATCTTCAACTCAGACTCGGCGCCGAAGTATTCCGACATCTCCTTCGTGATCGTATTCTTGATCGTCGCACCCTGGGTCATGATGTCCAGCGTGCGGGGGTCGACCCGCACTGTAGTCGTTGCTGGCAGCCATGTGTTCAGCTCCATGAAGTAGGCCCAGAACCTGCCCTTCGCTGTTGTGATGGTTGACTGCTGCGTCTCGTCCCTGAGCGCGTTCTCGACTGCGTCGCGCTTGGTCGGGAGGTCGAAGAGGATGCACGTGTGGCTCGTCATTGCCCTCCGTCGAATTGGTAGTAGTGGCCAGATGGCCCCGTGTCGGATCTCTCTCTCTCTCTCTCTCTCTTTCTCTCTCTCTCTCTCTCTCTTTCTCTCTCTCTCTCTCTCTCTCGAGAGATCAAACCGTCAATAAGTTATGAGCCAAAGTGGCAGTGGTTCCACTCACCCCATACCCCGCTGTCCATCCCGCGCCCGTTATTCACCCACATAGGCCCCTGCGAGGCGCCAACAGCCCCGAGAATGATTCCCAAGACGGCCCGAGATGTGCCGAGACAGCCCAGGAGGATCCAAGACGGCCCATGACGTTCTCACCAGGATGGCCCACAATGGTCCAAGACGGCGCACACTTCCCCCTCTTCCTCCTTCGTATTCAATTGCCATAGGTGGGCTTAAGCAGCGCTGCTTCGGCGCACCCTTGGCGCGCCCCATGGACTGGGGTCACGGCGGTCCACAGCATGCGGAGATGCCGAAGCTCGGCATCGATGTTGGCCAAGTGTTGAGCAAGAAGGGTGTGTCAGCAGACGGTGTCGGGTTGGAATGCATGCCTCGTGCCACAAAAGGTGTAATTAACGATGTTAATTTCACCTTGTGCTGGCACAAAGGTTTGCATTCGCAACCCCGAGGTGATGGCTGTTGGCAATCAATGTCAGACGGCGCCTACTCGTTCCTCGTGCTGTTCATGGCGAAATATGGAACCGACGCTGTTCACGTGATTTCTCGAACAAATACAGGGACATGGACTTCCTGGCGCCGAGGCAATGGGATCGAGTGCTACGTCGTGAGGTTCCTCAGGCAGTGTGGCATCATGCACCTCGGCATGGAAGCTCACCAGATTTCCATCACGTCGAAGAAGAGCGGCTGGTGTGGCAAAGGGATTCCTGCAAAGCGGGCCGGGATCACGCACATGCTTGACAACGATCAAGAGTGCCTGTATTCCGTGCTCTTGGACCAGACGAGCCAGAACGCATACAAAACGATCACATCCTACGATCATGGCTCGCCTGGCGCGCTCTTCCAGTTCACCAAGCACGAGGAAGCTGAACCGCCATGGTGGATGAAAGTTCTCCCGGAGGAGGCCATGGCGGCCATGACGACCCACCTGCACAAGATCAGCAATTGGTTTGAGCTGGCCAACTACTTCGATCTGCCGTACAGGTACGAGCTTTGGGCGGCATTTCGGAAAGAGGGGCCACCTCGCAAATAACCTGAGAAGATGTCCGCACAAGAAGTGATCGACATGTGCAATGGGTCTAAACTTATGTTCTATCAGCCCGAGGACGAAAAGCCACAGACGGGTGACGCACCGGACGATGCTCGTGGTAGTCAGTGCTCCGCGGAGCCGTATCAACAACATCATCCCGCCACGGACTACATGCGCGACGAAGTGGAGGAGGCGGACACCTGGGTCAATAATAAGATTAATGATGATGGCAAGTCGTGGTATTATTATCCACAGCAGCCCAACGACCATCATCAATATGACAACATGTCGTGGCAGTCCGCGGGCCATCCAGAAGATGCCGACATGTGGCAGCAGCCCGCAGGTCAGCCCGCGGAGGAGTACGCCGACGAGATTCCACAGGAGGAGGGTGTTGGCATTGGCTCGCCAGACACAGGATCCCCACGGCCAGCGCTCGGCGGCGGCGGCAGCCCACATACCAGCCTGCCAGGAAGCATGCCAGGCAGCGCCTGCCAGGCAGCCTACGAGGAGCAGATCAAACAGCTAAACGCGACGGTTGCAGCACTCCGTAACGACGTGATGCAAGCGGTGGACGCTGCAACCGTGGCTGCACAAGCCGCACAATGTGCGGCGCACAATGCGGCCACGGCGCAGCACGCCCAGTTCAGCATGCCACAGCCGCATGTCTGCAGCGTGCCAGTGCAGCCGCAGCCACCACCAACCGCGCCTCCTGCTTGGGTTGGGTGGAAGCAGAGCAGTCGACAAGCGCCAGCCTGGCTAGAGAAGAAAGCGGCTCGTGCTGCACGCTACGCGGCAGGCGACAGGCCACCGCAAGGAGCAAACGCGCCATCGCTGCCGATGTGCAAGTGGTGCGGTAAAAACCAACCGGGGCGCCATTGCATTTACGAGGCCTGTAGGTCCTGCTGCGACTCCTACAGGCAGGAACTGGGGGCCGCGTCCAAGCGGCGCTGGCAGCATGACGCTGCGTAGATTTGCCAGCAGGTTTTTGTGAACGGCTGCTTCGGCCGAACTTAATTCGCCATGCCTTGCCACAGGGGCCGGGTGTGCATCCCGGGAGGCGGCCGCTGGGTGTCATGGGCCCGCGGAGGCCTCGGCTGGCGCGAGGCGGCCGTTGTGATCATCGGTCCGCGGGCGCCTCGGCTGGCCCGGCCTGGCACTGTGCAAAAGCGCCGTCCTCCTCCGCCTCCCCCATCCGAGTTCCCATCCCCCCTTCCCCCTTCTTCCACCTCCTCGTCCTCATCATCATCATTCGCCCAGCCGACCACCGTATCCCAGAACCAGGATTGAACCACCCATTAATATCTTCACTACCCACGGGAACGCGTCGGGCATTTATCTACTTTCAGCGGCCCTCCGACGATCAGCTGTTTCGGCTCGATGGTTTCGGCACCTCTGTTTCGGCGCTGCACCGCTGAAGTCATGTGCTCAGAGCTGATGCGGTCTATCGGGTCTGCCAGTAGCACTTGCAACCCTGAGGCTCCGAACCAGCTCATCTCATGTGATGACATCTCCGATGGATGCAAATACTGGCAGGACATTGCGCCCTCCGCAGGGCCAGCGGTGCTACTTGGCCAGGCGACGCTTCACCTGAACCGTGCGTCGTCCATGCTGCGCAAGCTTTCAGAGAAGCTTGGGCAGGACAAGGAGTTGCTGGCCTACCAAGCCAATCAACTGGCGGATCACAAGTCATTGCTGCAGATCCACCAGAACTGGCCGCACATTCTGGAGCGCGGGATCGCCATGAAGTGGCGCGCGCAGATCATCGCCCACCTCGACTCCCAGATCAGGGCGGTGCGCGCGTTCGTGGCGACCCCCATCGCGATGCAGAGCTTGGTCGCGGGCCTTTCGCCGCAGATCATGGGGCCGTTCCAATCGGGCAGCGACGTGCTCGGTCTGAGCTACGGGGAGTGCGCGCCAGTCGACCCATGCGAGTAAGCTTTGGGGCCTGCTCTTCGGCTGCTTCGGCCGCGACCGAATTGGCTCTTCGGCTGCTTCGGCTTTAGCGTGAAGTCAAACATCACCATCGTCATCGCCATTCCTCTGTCCTCTCCAATCCATTCCTCTCCAATTCCTCTCCAATCCATCCATTCCTCTTTCCTCTCCATCCATCCTTCCATTCCTCTTTCCTCTCCAATCCATCCC